ATTATAGGCATGAGCCACAGCCCGTTCTTTTCTTAACTATGAGAACTAATTATGAGAGAGGAGCAAGGTTGTTCGCCAGGGCAGATGTAGGTTTTTGTGAGGCCTGAGCTTATGCAGTTTCATGGGCCCTCTCTTAGAAAAAGAATGCAAAATTACTGATACAAAATGGGGTATGAAAAATAATTTTTTTAAATTAGGTATGAAAGAAGTTATTTTAAATAAGAAAAAAATAATAACAGTACTGTCTCAGCCACAGCAATTCTGAAAATTTGTGGTTTATTCATCCTCATCAAATAAAGAAAAAATCATATAGTTTCTTTTCAGTCATATACAATGCACCGTCTACCATATGTATTCCTACAGGAGACAGCTTCAATTTTGAATAGGCAAAAATGAGAACCTAATTCTCTGCTTACAGTTTTATATTTTTTATGATTGGAAGAATCTCCACTGACTAATTTCAGGTTTCCTGCATTCCAAACCTGGTTCCTTCTCCACTTCCCACATGTTTCTGGGGACTGATGCTATAGGCACATTTGTGTCATCATCTGCACCCACTAGCCTTGCCCACTTTGTGTCAGAATGTCTGGTGAGTTAGCACAGGGTGGTATGAGTATTCCTGGCAGCATGCCAGCCCTAGAACAGCTAGCAATCATTTGACCATAGACAGAAGTGATTGCAAACCACGCAAAATTCCCAGTAAACTCAAACTAAATGTATGTGTAACTAGCTTCCTCTAAATGGTTCCCCCAAAATGCTCCCAGCCATCCAGCACTACTCCTTGGGACATAAGTGAGAGAAGAGAATTTTGAGGGGGAACAAACAGTGGTCTTAACATATTGGGGTTAAGACAGTGGTCTTAACATACTCTTTTGCACATTTTAAGGAACAATTGACTATAGGATCCCATTCCCAGGGCCCCACCCAGGGTCTTCAAGGGTTTATGCAAGCAAGTACCTGGAAACCTAAGGAAAATGATGGGCAACTGGACTTCAGATACTTCTCAAAAAGAAGATGAAGATAGGGATTGAGGGAAGGAGATGTGCAGCCTTCTATTCTCATTTGCTGTTGTTGCCAGGGGTTGAAAAAGGACAGAGTACTTGACTCCTCTTTTGGAATGACTTAACCAATCCCATCTGGCAGTGTCTTTTTTTTAAAGTAGACTCTTCAAGGAATTGGGGAAGAGGCAGTGCAGTCTTGGTGACTCCATTTCACTGGCTGAATCAACCACTGGGACTGAGTGGGTGGCACAGGCCCAGCTCAGCTGCCTCGAATCCCAGCAGTCCTGGAGGAACCTGAGTACTGGAGCCAAGCTGGCTAGATTGGGTCCCCATACTTTTCTTTCAATATTCTCTTAATGGAAATCACAGAACTAGCATCCTTACTTCAGAAAAGCAGTTTTCTCCTTTGGAATCAAAAAAAAAAAAAAATCACAGACTAAGGAAACAATTATCCAATTTACAATTATAAAAGATGATCTCATTTTATATGTTAAAAGGTGGCAGATAAAATAATTTTTTGGAACAAGAAGTAACTCATATTTAGAGCATTTTATTAGCAAGGTATTTTAAATATTTCTCATAGTTTCTGTTGCATAAATGTCACATACCTTTAAAAATATGTTAGAGTCGGTCCTCCATAAGTTCCACATCTGTAGATTTCACCAACCACAGATTAAAAATATTTGAAAAAAAAATGTGTCTTTACTGAGTATGTATAGACTTTTTTCTCTTGTCATTATTCCCTGAACAATACAGTATAACAACTATATTTATAGCATTTAAATTGTATTAGGTATTGCAAGTAATCTAAAGATGACAAAGTATACAGGAGAATGTGCATAGGTTGTATGCAAATACTACATCATTTTATATCAGGAACTTGAGAGTCTGTGGATTTTGGTAGGCGCAACAGGTCCTAGAACAAATACCCCACAGACACCAAGGAACTACTGTATTTATTCTCAACTTGATTGCTTAACTGTAGACTGTCTTCTTCAGCTGGCAGATTCTGAGGAATGGAGGAATACAGTGTTTATATTTTTTAAGGTCATTCATTGATTTTTAAACATTTATGGGGCTGATCCTGGCAATTATTTGTAGGTCATTCTTTTTACCTCAAAGGATTTTTATGATATAAGGATATGAAGAAATTTGTGTAAGGGATGACATGCTTTACACAGACAATATATATAACTTTATAATAAACTGTAAATAAAGCAATAGGTATGGGGAGTCCTTTTTACTTTTAGTCAACACTGGGTCAAGTACTTTGGGCATTCATGTGTACCCTCAGAGAGTTTACAGTTCAGATGGAAAGAAAACATAACATTTATGCAACACCAGTACACATTGTGAGACAAGGTAAAATTACGTGCCAATTTATAGGGTACAGGCTACCTACATTGTAGAAAGAAGTACGGAGGCAAAAGGAAGGAGAAACACGATTCCCCTTAAGGATCCCAGATGAAGATGGATTACAGAATATTAAGAGAAAGAAGACTCCATTGATAGAAGCTAATAGAAGAATTTTCACAGAACTAGGGGTAGCCTCTAGATAGATTCCTTAGGATTTTTTACGTACACAATCATGTTATCTGCAAATAGAGGCAGTTTGCTATCTTCCTTTCTAATGTATATGCCTTTTATTTTTCTTGTCATATTGCACTGGTTAAAAGTTCTAGCGCTGTGTCAAATAAGACTGGTAAGAGCTGACATCCTTGCCTTGTTCCCAATCAGGAGCAAAGTTTTAGCCTTTCATTTTTAGCCATAATGTTTGCTGAAAGTTGTTTTACATGCTGTTTATCAGTTTCAATTCTTTTTAACTTTGTTGATATTTTATGGCCTAGAATATAGTCTGTCTTGGTATACCTTCTGTGACACTTGGAAAGAGTGTGTATTCTGCTGTTGTTGATTGGATTATTCTATTAATGTTGATTAGATCCTATTGCTTGATGGTGCTACTCAGTTCTAGATCTTTGCAGATTTTCTAGCTAGTCATTCTCTCAACTTTTAAGAGAGGACTGTTAAAGTTTACAAGTCAACTGTGAATTTATTTCTCATGTTATTTCTACAAGTTTTTGCTTCACATGTTTTGTAGTTGTACAAAGCATGCAGAACTTGCTGTTTGGTGCATACACATTTAGGATTGCTATGTCTTCTTGACAGATTACCCTTTATCATCATATAATGTCTCCCTCATTCTCTGGTAATTTTCTTTGCTCTGAAGTCTACTTTCCCTGAAATTAACCACTGCTGCTTTCCACTGACCAATATTTTCATGTGTATTTTCATCCCTTTGCTTTCAGTTTGCCTGTAGCATTATATTTGAAGTGTCTTATAACAGTATATAGTTCAGCCATGTTTTTAAATTCATTCCGTCAATCTCTACCTTTAAATTGGTATGTTTGGGATATTTACATTTAATATATTCATTGATATGTTGGGGGGTTAAATCTGTGTGTGTGTGTGTGTGTGTGTGTGTGTGTGTGTGTCTCTCTCTCTCTCTCTCTCTCTGTGTGTGTGTGTGTGTGTGTGTGTGTGTGTTTCTTTTGTTTGTTCACTAATTTTTGCATCTCCGTGCAGGGGAAGAGCAGGGGTTGGTCACCTATCTTCCCATGGGTTACTTGAACATATAGTAGAATCCCACTTTAATTTGTCTTAGTGTTTTCGAGTACATCTCTTTGTATAGACTTTTTAATGTTTGCTGAAACTATTAGTGTGGATTTGGCCTCATTACTGATGGGTGATGTAGAAAGTCCTAACTCTCCACTAGGCCTCCTCTGACACCATCCCAGTAGGATGGGAAAGATATACTTCCTTACAGCCAGGAAGGGATGGAAGTCCAGGCTCCTCATGTGGTCACCATTGATACTGCAGTGGTGGTGGCAGTGGAGGATGGACGAGGGCTCATTACCACCCCCTGGGGATAAAAATCCCAGCTCCCAGTTTGTCTCCGACATCACCCTGGTAGGAGATGGAGCCTTTAGGGGTCCATCATGGGGTACCTCATTACACCCTGTCAAGGGTGGAAGTCTATACTCCCTACTCTGTCTTTGGTGGTGAGGATGAGGCCATAGTTTTTTCTGTGGTGTTTGGCTGTAGTCAAGTGGTTATTGTCTGAAAGTTTTTGGTCTTGCTAGGCTTCCTCTTTCTTGGCCATTTTGGTAGAGAGGGCAGACTGTTGCTGGGGCTTTTTTGGTCTGCTTCCATTGGCATTTTCAGGTAGCTGCCTTCTTCAGCTCCTAGTCTGGGATAATGAGCCAAAAAGATAACTCGGGGAGTTTGCCATTGAATTATTATCGGTCCCTAACATCGCTAAGTAGTCTGCTTTCATCTCTCCACCTTTCGGAGTCTTTCTATTTTTTTAAATATGTAATGTCTAGGACATTTCCCCCTGGGGCCAGCACTAATGTGAAGGCCTGGCTGCTTCTGGGTACAGGCATCACTTGCTGGGGACAACTTTGGATTCAGATAGACCTTACTTCCCAGGTGTGTGACCTCGGGCAAATGGCTTTACCTCTGTAAAGAGCAGTCTTTTTATCTAAGGATAGAGGGATTTCATATCTGTAAAATCAGTATTTATATTGTAAGAATTAAATAAAATAACATCTATGAAACAGTGTTAAACATGTAGTAACCACTCAATAATTCTAGCCCTGACCACTTATTCATCATAAGACACCCTTTTGTCATTGTAAACTCTTAATAAATACCATTTTTAAAGGCTGTAAAACATCCTCTTGTATGAGTGTTCTATAATTAAACATTCCCTCCTAAGGTGAGACATCTAAGTAATCTTTAATTTTTCAGTTTTATAAATGAGATTGCCATCTTGGTGCTTAAATATCTGTTTTCACTTTGGAACATTTCCTTAAGTGCAGCTTCTTTGAGGTAGAATTACAAAATGAAGAGAAAGAACCTTCTGGAAAGGTGGTACCAAGATTGCACTAGCAATGAGAGAGAGAGACTTTTCTGATTTTCAAACTTTATATTTTCTAGAAGCATCAGATGGCGAAGGAGGAGGAAGAGACACGGAAGTGATGCAGCAGGAGACAGTTCCAATTCCTGCATCTTCAAAGAAAACCAAACAGGTAAGGGGTCACTGCGGGAGAGCACCACTGTTACATTGTGACATCAGCCTCTTCCTCCCCTTTTGAACCTCCTGTGTCCTAATATCGGTTGCTGGTGGGATTTAAGAGAACCCTTTACCTTCTTTCCCTTTGAAAAGGCTATGGGCCATGCTTCCGTCATTGTAAACCAGCAAGGTCTGGTTTTTGCCTGAATTCTTTTT